CGAAAAATAAAATTAATGCTATCTTGTAGCAAATTTCAAGGGCTTTCAAATAAGCCCAAAATGAAATTTTTATTTCACCTGTAAGGGGTTGAAAATATTTTTTAAAAACGTCTACCCCCTGTTTTCCGTTGATTTTTGTGTTTTTGGATCTCGATGTAGGGGTTATGTTAGAACTTAGTTTCTTTTGTATTTTTAATTCACATCACTAAATATGTTCACAGGAATTTTTGTAGATTTTTCGGACGACTCCTAATGTCGAAACCTTAGGGGTGCTTATAATTATCTGACAGTCGTTTTAACTAAATTTCATTTATTTTCTCTACTATCCATATTTAATTTATCAATGATTGTTTTTTTCTGTTCAATATGCATCAGAAAATCCTAAAAATATTTAGAACTATGATATTTTAACCTTAACTATATTTTTATTCAAAAACTAGGGGGTGCTTATAATTTTCTGACAGAGTGTAATTGTGATTTATTTGTCTTTTGTGTTTTTACCATCTTCAGATTTGAGAGAAATTGAGGAAACGTTTTAATGATTTAATAGAAAAATAATCTTATTCTTCAGAAACAAAAAAATATTTATTTTTTTGTTCCGATGAGATATTCTAATAAATTTTGATTTTTTAGGAAGGATTAATTAACTCTAATTTCATTTTTAAAAAATACCTAACTTTGGGGAACTTTAAAAATTAAAATCCGTTATCTTCTATGTTGTGTTTTTAAAATCTTTATAAGTTTGAATTAAATTTTAAATTAAATTCTAAAATTTAAAAATAATTTAAAGCCCCAAAGAGACAGAAATTGGAAGGGGAAAGCTCTTCTTCAAAAAACACCAACAAACTCGAAAATTCTCAACAGAATATTTCAATTCCTAAAATGAAATTTTCGCTCGTCGAAATTTCTTTTTTAATTAATTTATTAAATAAAATTGGAGTGGAAAAAATAATTGATAAATCAACAAGGAATATTATTTCGATTATGGAGAATGAATTAAATTCCTTACCAAAATTGTTACAAACAGAGAAAAATTATTTGTTTCATTTTAAAGGAACAATTAATAAAATTCATAAGGTATACATCTTAATTAGGGTAGCTACCGACCCTTAGGGGTCAAAAGTTCGGGGATAAGGATTTGTTGGGGTAGAGCCTTCGGGGTTGGGGTCGGGGTTTTTGCCAGAGAAAATCGTCAGTATCAGGTTGCTACCCTAATCTTAATTTAAATTTAACCGAGCTTTAAGGCAATCCATAAAGATTTCCAAAATTTAAATATCCTACAGGGATGGGGTTTGATTGAAAACGGATTGAAAACATTCCCGGTCAAGGGTTCCACTGGTAAATTTTAATAGCAAAAAATTTGATATTTTTGGCGAAAATTAAAAGGCCGTTTGGAATTTTTTAGAAATGAGCAGTTGTTGAAGAGTTGTAGATCCGAGGATCTACAATTGTTTTGTATACTATATGTATTATAAAAGATCATAATGACTGAAAGTCTCACTCATTTCTAAAATTACTAAAATTTACAATAAATTAATTATTTTTGTCAATTTTTTTAAGGTTACTGTTTATTATACAAATATGTTAAATGCATTACCCGAAGAAGTTTATAATAAAGAAACTCACAAATCTCAAGAAAAGTTTAAAAAAGAAATTATCGAGAAAAGACTGAGTGATTTAAGTTTAGCAATGAATACAAAAGATTATAATGATTTTCTGAAAAATTGTGAAAGTACTGTAGGGAACCTTTTGGTGGGAAATAAAGATTTTAATACTAATAAAGAAATGTATGAGGAGGCTATGAAAAACTTGAATAAAATAATGTAATATTTATTTAGACTAATTTTAAGCAGAGGTGGGTCGGAACAGTCAGAGGTGTGCCGGAACTCGGAACTGCAGGAAATCGGAAATCGGAACTTGGAAATCTAAATTTTTTTCGGAAATTGGAAGGAAAAAACGTCGGAAATCGGAAGTCAGAATTCCGACCCACCTCTGATTTTAAGAGAAATATTGTTGAGACTAATGTAAGGAAGAGAATGAGGTAATATTCAATTTCGTACCCCCCCCCCTCGTTTTTCCTTCTTCAAAGTATTATAAAATGGTCAGTCAGACTTAGATTATAGAACTCGTCGAGCTGCGTCGAATGACACCAAAATCAAAAAAATTGGACTCGATTTGACCGAGATACAGACCCCTGAAAATTGAACAACCATAGGGGCGATTTTTTTAAATAAAAAAATTTTATCCAAATGATAGCTCATTCGAAAGAGCTTGTCAAGATGAGTCGAAAGACACCAAAATCAACGTGATTAGGCATGGTTTGACAAAGTTATGATATTATGTAGACCTAACGGAGTCGGCGACTTATGTCATAACTTTATCAAATCTTGTCCAATCACGTTGATTTCTGTGTCATTCGACTCAGAACGACGAGCTCTTTCGAATGAGCTATCATTTGTATGAATTTTCGTCCTTATGGGTTTTCGCCCCTATGGTTGTTCAATTTTCAGGGGTCTGTATCTCGGTCAAATCGAGTCCAATTTTTTTGATTTTGGTGTCATTCGACACAGCTCGACGAGTTCTATAATCTAAGTCTGACTGACCATTTTATAATACTTTGAAAAAGGAAAAAGGAGGGGGGGGGGGGTACGAAATTGAATATTACCGAGAATGATCCAGCTGGCTAGCATTTATGTAAAACGCTCACTAGGCGGGAGTTTAAGATCTAATAAAAGAGAAGGTGAAAGCAGCGTCCCGATAGCTCAATTGGTAGAGCACCTGTACGTGGTGAGCGGAAGCGCCAAGCAATAACTGCCAAGAGGTCGCAGGATCGAAGCCTGCCCGCGATTAAACTTTTACCTCACTCCTACTCTAATTAGAATTTTAATTTATATATTTTAGAAAAAACGAAGAAGATTATTGGACAAAAAGAGCCTCATTTTTGATTTATAGAAACTGTAAAAATATTACAAACGTTGAAAAAAATATTTTTATATTTTGGCATTTAATTGTTTTTACTCAAATGCTTGTTAAATCGTTTACTGAATTCTTCAGAAAAAATAATAATTATTACAAGAATGAATTGTTTAGTTATTATAGATTTGGCCTTACTGATAATAGGTAGCTAAATTTGTGTTTTGATTAATGATAATAGTTTCTTTTTTAACATTACACAAAAAATTTTTATTCTGTGTTCCCATTGTGATACTAAACGGTTCCGCGGTTAAATAAATTTTTGGTCGTTACAGAGCCCCGATAACCTGGGGCCGTATTATAAAAGCGGGGTAGGGGTAGTTAAGTAGCGGCGAGTGGTTAACTCAAAATCCTTATTGGACTGGTTTATTGGACCTAGACATTTTCTAGTTCCAGCAATTCCAACCAAACTCGCAAGTTACAACCCCAAAAAATAGAAAAATTCAAAGTCCTTTTAATTGGAAATGCTAAAAAAAAATTATTTTTTTAATATTATTATAATATATTTTTTAAGAGAGGAAATTTCAATCAAAAAATACGAAAAAGCTGTTGATGAATTAAAAGAAGCCGCTGACAAATTTAAGAGTTTAATAGAAAAATTGAATATTTTACAAGCAAAAAATATTATTTTTGAATTTTATGAAAAAAAATTTGGTAAGAAATAAAAGGGTATAGTATACCAGAGGCGAAATTTCGATAAGAAACACATATCATTCGATTAGTCTAGGCGAGCTGAGTCGAACGAAACCACTCTCTATTTACTGAAATGCCTTTGGATCGAGCGAGATAGAGGTCTCCGAATATCGGCTATAGAAATATTTTTTTATTCTAACATTGCTCAATCACACTGATTTTGGTGGCGTTCGACTCAGATAAATGAGCTTTTTTGAATTAGCTATGATTTGCATATTCAAATTTTGTACCGCAAAAATGAACTTCCCTTATGGTTTTTGATTTTCAGCGACTTATGTATATCTCTGTCTACAGAATAGAGAGTGGTCCTTTTCGAATCAGCTCATTGAAACGAATCGAATGATAAGTTTTTAGGTTCAACGGGAGAAGGTCACTTTGGGTGAGTAGAGTTCTCTCAGGATTCATAACCCCATTTAATAAAATTTTGATTGACAAATTTCAGAACGTAAAAGTATGATTATTTCATTGGAAGAAGCCGAAAAAGAACAAAGCACAGTTTTTAACGCAAAATTTTCAGAAAATTATTTTACTGGTGAACATAAAGAAATGTTTATTTTTTTACCTTTAATTTATCTCGATAAAGGTTAATTTAAAAATTAAATTAAACATGGGCTATATCAAATTTTGAAATTTTTTTAGTTTTCTTTCTCTTCAATTTAATTTAAAAATACCCTCACTATACGACAAAAGAAAATTAAGTTTCATGAAAAATTAATCACTACTATCATATAATTTCAGTTTAAAATGACAATCCAAAGAAGTGGAGGATAATGAAAAAGGAAGTGAAAATTGAAGAATATAAATTTAACAATTAAAAAATATTTTTAGTTTGATTTTCATATTTATTTCCATGTATTACGTGAAATATTGTTGAATCAAAGTGTTAACTTGTACATATTATTTTGTAGATTTTTTAGAAAAAAATTTCTTTTTAAAAAAATTTCTTCGTTAGACATGTTATGTATGGGCAAGAGCCCTTAAAACAGTTTAGTATAAAAGCCAGCCAATAGTTAGTCCTTTCTTCTTCTTTTCCTTAGTTTCTACATAACTCAACTTTCATTGTATTCTCTTCGTGTAATAAAGTATCTGTTTGGAATCGTCTACGTAAGCGGGGTCATAACAAGACAGCTCGAAAAAATGTATAACGCCGAGTGACAAGGATCTGAGGCCGAACAAAACAAAGTTTCAACAATATTTTCAGAAAATTATATTGGCGAACATAAAGAAATATTTATTGGATTGGTTTAAAAAATTTCTATCATTTTATTTACTTTTTCCAAAATTTAAATTTATTTTCTTGTAAATAATCAAAAAACAATTATTTTTAACAATAAATTTAATTCTATTATGTGTACTTTTTTACTTCCATTCTTGTTTTCTAAACCAGAAACGAACTCTAAAATTTTTTTAAATATTTCAAAAATAATTAGTATATATTTACCTGTGATCGTCTGAACCCGTAACAAAACTATTAAAATTAAAAAATTTTATTATAAAAAATATTTTCCCTCACATTGGCATAGTTGGTGAATGGACAAATGCCCGTGTTTCTGCAGTGTGTCCCAAAGCTAACAAACGTTCCCGATCAGAATTACGAGCATCCCAAGAACACAATGAACCTGATTTTTCATCTGGGAGCATTACTATAGAAAGGAATTGTTATTTTTTAAAAATTATTTAAAAAGGTTTGCTTGTATTGGGGAATCCTGCCGTCAAAGAAGAAATTGCTGATTTCGAGAAATCAAAATTCCCGCCCCAAAAAACTCCTGATTGTTGGGAATGAGGAATTAGAACTGCAGGATCCCAAATAATTCATAAAAAATTTATACCATAATCCTCAGTATGATTAAAGACAGCAGGCATAGAATATTCTCTAGCACCAGTAGCCCCAGCTCCTGTATATGCAATTAAACAACGGTTAGTTGATAATTCCCATAATTTGGGGACACTATCCATTCCCACGGTGAGAACGTACTGTGAAATAAAAAATTATTTTAAGAAAATTAGAAAACCCCCAAGGGGTCACTTTAGTACGTGGGTCCCGGAGTTAATATACAAATGTTATACCATTCGAAAGAGCTAGTCGAGCTGAGTCGAATGCCACCAGTTTTAGCCCGAGGAAAAATTTTTGGACCGAGATATAGGTCCCTGAAATTTGAAAAAGCATAGGGGGGACCAAGCACTTTTTTGGGGTGAAAAATTCGAAATTGCAAATGATACCTCATTCGAAAGAGCTCGACGAGCTGAGTCGAATGACACCAAAATAAACCTATTCCTATCTCCATTGCTCTGGACGTATTTGGGGCCTCCGTAGCAGCAAAAATCTCCACAGATGCCATAGGTAAGGAGCTAAAAGAAAAGATCATAACTTTGTTCAATCAAGTCGGATTTCGTTGATCTTGGTGCATTTGACTCAGCTCGAGGAGCTCTTTCGAATGAGGTATCATTTGCATTTTCGAATTTTTCACCCCAAAAAAGTGCTTGGTCCCCCCTATGCTTTTTCAAATTTCAGGGACCTATATCTCGGTCCAAAAATTTTTCCTCGGGCTAAAACTGGTGGCATTCGACTCAGCTCGACTAGCTCTTTCGAATGGTATAACATTTGTATATTAACTCCGGGACCCACGTACTAAAGTACAGCCAAAAATTTCTTCGTTAGACATGTTGTGTATGGGCAAGAGCCCTTAAAACAGTTTAGTATAAAAGCCAGCCAATAGTTAGTCCTTTCTTCTTCTTTTCCTTAGTTTCTACATAACTCAACTTTCATTGTATTCTCTTCGTGTAATAAAGTATCTGTTTGGAATCGTCCACGTAACGGGGCCATAAAAAGACAGCTCGAAAAAATGTATACCGCCGAGTGACAAGAGCCTGATGTGAGTATTTCCAATATGTTTTTTTTTATATTTTTTTTACAATATTTTCAGAAAATTATTTTATTGGTGAACATAAAGAAATGTTTATTGGGTCGGGAAGGCAACCGACTATAAATAAACACGTCCTTATTGGTTAGAATGATATCCGAATCTTTTTTTTATCAGAACCTTAGCTTTTTATTTTTGTTTTTCAAAGCTATGAATAACACATACTCGAAGAATTTTATCATTTTATTTACTTTTTTCAAAATTTAAATTTATTTTCTTGTAAAAAATCGAAAAACAATTATTTTTAAAAATAAATTTAATTCTATTATGTGTACTTTTTTACTTCCATTCTTGTTTTCTAAACCAAAAACGAACTCTAAAAAAAATTTTTTTAAATACATATTTCAAAAATAATTATGTATTTACCTGTGATCGTCTGAACCAGTAACAAAACTATTAAAATTAAAAAATTTCATACATATAAAGGAAAAAATATTTTCCCTCACATTGGCATAGTTGGTGAATGGACAAATGCCCGTGTTTCTGCAGTGTGTCCCAAAGCCAACAAACGTTCCCGATCAGAATTACGAGCATCCCATGAACATAATGATCCAGATTTTTCATCAGGGAGCATTACTATGGAAAGGAATTATTTTTAAAAATTATTTAAAAACGGGGTGCTTGTATTAGGGAACCCGCCGTCAAAAGAAATAAATTTCTGATTTCGAAAAATCAGAGTTCCTGACCCAAAATACTTTCCTGATTTTTGGGAATGAGGAATTGGGATGGCAGGATCCCAAATAATTCATAAAAATTTGTTTATTTACCATAATCCTCAGTATGATTAAAGACAGCAGGCATAGAATATTCTCTTGCCCCAGTAGCCCCAGCTCCTGTATATGCAATTAAACAACGGTTAGTTGATAATTCCCATAATTTGGGGACACTATCCATTCCCACGGTGAGAACGTACTGTGAAATAAAAAATTATTTTAAGAAAATTAGAAAACCCCCAAGGGGTCACTTTAGTACGTGGGTCCCGGAGTTAATATACAAATGTTATACCATTCGAAAGAGCTAGTCGAGCTGAGTCGAATGCCACCAGTTTTAGCCCGAGGAAAAATTTTTGGACCGAGATATAGGTCCCTGAAATTTGAAAAAGCATAGGGGGGACCAAGCACTTTTTTGGGGTGAAAAATTCGAAATTGCAAATGATACCTCATTCGAAAGAGCTCGACGAGCTGAGTCGAATGACACCAAAATAAACCTATTCCTATCTCCATTGCTCTGGACGTATTTGGGGCCTCCGTAGCAGCAAAAATCTCCACAGATGCCATAGGTAAGGAGCTAAAAGAAAAGATCATAACTTTGTTCAATCAAGTCGGATTTCGTTGATCTTGGTGCATTTGACTCAGCTCGAGGAGCTCTTTCGAATGAGGTATCATTTGCATTTTCGAATTTTTCACCCCAAAAAAGTGCTTGGTCCCCCCTATGCTTTTTCAAATTTCAGGGACCTATATCTCGGTCCAAAAATTTTTCCTCGGGCTAAAACTGGTGGCATTCGACTCAGCTCGACTAGCTCTTTCGAATGGTATAACATTTGTATATTAACTCCGGGACCCACGTACTAAAGTACAGCCAAAAATTTCTTCGTTAGACATGTTGTGTATGGGCAAGAGCCCTTAAAACAGTTTAGTATAAAAGCCAGCCAATAGTTAGTCCTTTCTTCTTCTTTTCCTTAGTTTCTACATAACTCAACTTTCATTGTATTCTCTTCGTGTAATAAAGTATCTGTTTGGAATCGTCCACGTAACGGGGCCATAAAAAGACAGCTCGAAAAAATGTATACCGCCGAGTGACAAGAGCCTGATGTGAGTATTTCCAATATGTTTTTTTTTTATATTTTTTTTACAATATTTTCAGAAAATTATTTTATTGGTGAACATAAAGAAATGTTTATTGGGTCGGGAAGGCAACCGACTATAAATAAACACGTCCTTATTGGTTAGAATGATATCCGAATCTTTTTTTTATCAGAACCTTAGCTTTTTATTTTTGTTTTTCAAAGCTATGAATAACACATACTCGAAGAATTTTATCATTTTATTTACTTTTTTCAAAATTTAAATTTATTTTCTTGTAAAAAATCGAAAAACAATTATTTTTAAAAATAAATTTAATTCTATTATGTGTACTTTTTTACTTCCATTCTTGTTTTCTAAACCAAAAACGAACTCTAAAAAAAATTTTTTTAAATACATATTTCAAAAATAATTATGTATTTACCTGTGATCGTCTGAACCAGTAACAAAACTATTAAAATTAAAAAATTTCATACATATAAAGGAAAAAATATTTTCCCTCACATTGGCATAGTTGGTGAATGGACAAATGCCCGTGTTTCTGCAGTGTGTCCCAAAGCCAACAAACGTTCCCGATCAGAATTACGAGCATCCCATGAACATAATGATCCAGATTTTTCATCAGGGAGCATTACTATGGAAAGGAATTATTTTTAAAAATTATTTAAAAACGGGGTGCTTGTATTAGGGAACCCGCCGTCAAAAGAAATAAATTTCTGATTTCGAAAAATCAGAGTTCCTGACCCAAAATACTTTCCTGATTTTTGGGAATGAGGAATTGGGATGGCAGGATCCCAAATAATTCATAAAAATTTGTTTATTTACCATAATCCTCAGTATGATTAAAGACAGCAGGCATAGAATATTCTCTTGCCCCAGTAGCCCCAGCTCCTGTATATGCAATTAAACAACGGTTAGTTGATAATTCCCATAATTTGGGGACACTATCCATTCCAACGGTGAGAACGTACTGTGAAATAAAAAATTACTTAAAGAGAATCAGAAACCCCGAAAAATGCCTCAGAAGGTTTAGGGTTTATAAGAAGCCTATCACTTTCCCATGATTTATAAATTTTGGATTGAAAATTTTCGAAAAGTTTGAAGAGGACAGTCAAGAACCATGAACATAATTTTAGTAAATCTTCGAACCCTCTCATTTAGAAAATGGTCAAAATCCCACCAATTTTTGGCTCTGGACAAACAGACAACGGTTATTTTTGAAAAAGTTTTCTAGAAACCCCCCCAACCCCATTTAAACCCCAACAAACAAACCTTTCCATTTCTTGTAAACCTAGCACTACAAATAGGTGCTCCGTCGTGAGCTCGATTAAAACATTCAATACAACGGTTGGAAACGCCATCCCAAACTTTAAAAAATAATTTAAAATTAAAGGAAAACCCAAACAAAACCTTTAACATTTCCATCCCGACTTCCAGTCACAAATATTCTAGCATTTTCAGAATAACAAACATCTGTTATTGTATCGTTATGTTGATCTTTGGGCATTGAAGAAACAAAGCATTGCTTTGAATTAAATTTTTAATTAAAAAAAAAAGAAAAATTCACGAAATAGAAAGGAATAATGATCAAAAAATGATTTTTTCGTCTAAGGCCTTCCAAAACTTTCAGACTTTTTGGCTCCTATGCTAAAAACATAAAGTTCATCATCTTCAAGAAGGATCCTCCTTCGAAAATTTCTCCTAGACACGTGTCTAATTCATTGCCAAACAAATAAAGGATTGTTTAAAAACTCAACAAAAAGCTAGGGGTTTTGATGAAATATCAAATAAGAATTTCATAAGATTTTTTATCAAATGGAGAACTAATTCTCAATGACTAAGTCAATTGAAAAGTTTATGATCCAAAACTTAGAGAATTTAGTCAAATTTTTAACAAAAATTGAATCATCTAAATTTTTGTAAAAAAACCTGCGTTTCAGTGTTATAAAGCCTCAAAGTAGGATGTCTTGTCCCACACAAAAAGAATTCTCCGCTTGGGTGAAATGTAATTGAAGAAATTGGTTCGACTTCCTAAAAATTATTTTTCAAAAATTAATTTAATGAAAAAAAACATTAATTGTCCTCATTGCTCTTTTAACAGCAGTTTTTGAATAATCAAATAATTTTAAAGTAAAATCGTTGCTTCCAGAGAGTAAAAGTTGTTCCCGAGGATGGAAAGCAACACAAGTGACTTCCTTAAATTGAAAGAAGTTTTAAAAAATATTTATTTTAAATTAGGGTAGCACCCCGAGCCTTCGGGAGTGTCGGGTTTCGGGGTTTGCCGGGGTAGAACCTTCGGGTCTAGGTCTTTGATAAAAAAATAGTTTGGGTTTCGGGGGACGGGGTGCTACCCTATTTTAATTTTAAAAAAATTTTAAAAGAAAAATTAAAAAAGAAATAAAAAAATGAATTTCTGACCCTATAAATTTAAAGAAATTATTTTTTAAAAATAAAAAAAACTCTACTCAATAAATTTAAAAAACAAACATCCAAATGGTCGTAAAGTGTTCGTATTACTGGATGGTGTGAATCAGGACCTGATTCGCTTAAAGCAGCTGTATCAATCCTGAAAAATGAATTTTTATAAAATTAATATTTTCTGCGGAAAATTTTTGCGAATTTTTGTAAAGAAAAAAGTTAAACTTTAATTGAAAGGTAAACGAGAAAGTAAAATCCGCAAAAATTGTCCGCAAAATTAACACCTCAACGAACCTCGAAATAACTTTGTCTACATCCATTATTTTTATTGAACAATCAACTGAGGCTGTTGCAATAAGTGCACCTTAAAAAATCAAAGCAAAATTAAAAAACAGAAAAAAAAACCATCAGAAGAAAAAGCAGCAGCACGGCAGGGACCTTTATGTGTTGTTAAATAGACAGTCTCGTATAAACTAGGTTCTGGGCCTATTAAAAATTAAAGAAATTAATTAAAAAATAAATCAACTAGTAGGAACAACATCAGCATCAAATTCCAAATCCAAACCCGACGATTCCACACCGAACTAAAAAAATAAAATTAAAAAAAAAATTTCAAAAAAGAAACCTGGTCACCAACAGCCTCCTTTTCTTTAGATTCCGGATCTTCCACATATTGGCGAGCGACAGTTACAAGACGAAAAAGTTTGTCAGAAGGAGGAGGTGGACGTAAAGAAAGGCCGAGTGATTGAGCCTTGAAAAAAATTTAAAAATAATTTTTTTTCAAACAAAATTTCTTGAAGAAATTGAAAAGTGTTTTGAAAGAAAATTACCAAATTTAGTGCCAATTGTTGGTGTCCATCATAAAACATTTGTCTAAAAAATTGAAAATTAATTTTTTAAATATAGAAAAATTACCCAATTATCAGTTTGTACATAAAATCACGATCCTTAATACTGTCAGGCTTCATTATTTGAAGAATTTAAAGCAAGAAAAAAATTTCTTTAATTTCTAAAAAAATTAAAGCTATGAAAAAATATAAAAAATAAAAATCTGACTTCAAAAACTCTATCAGTGGGTCATCTATTAAACAAATTTTTTACGTAAAATTTTATCATCTATTTTAGACATTTAAATAAAACAAAAAAATTAATATTGAACCTAACAGGCCACATTCCTGCATCCCAAGTTTTTTCCTATATATTTACAGAATGGGCAGATTTCTGCCTTTCTTCAATACCAATTTCTCCTTTCTTCGATCCAAGGAGGATAAAAATTAATTCCTTTTGACTGTTTGTAGAAAATGGGTTCTGTCAGGTTCAATATTACCCGAAAAAGTAAAGCAAACAAAATTGTATAAATTAAACCAAAAATAAACTGAATTTTTATCACTTCTTTTAATTAGAACATTTAAAGAGTGCTTGAATTTGAGCAAGTCTTCCGATCACTCGATTTCTGTACCCATAGTGGCAACAAGGCACAACCTAAAATATTTTAATTTTTAGTTATAAAACTTTAATTAAATACAATGTGCAATTGTTTGTGTCGACATTTCATTTCGAAAAAGAGCTGGATAAGTTTGTGTTCCTTTGGAACGATGAGCTGGGAGTGTTTGAGTGGCCACCCTTCTTCCCTCCATTTTTGATTGTGTAGCTACAAATTTTGCTGAAGAAAATGTTTGAGTAGAAACCTCCTTGTTTTTGGGGATGTTTTGATTACCTGAAGGACCAGCATCTGCATATGAACTTTGGTTAAAATAACAATGATCGCTTAAAGCAGCTTTTCGTTCCCGTTGTTTCTTAATCTTTGCTTGTGATGCTTTTAGTGCGCGTTGTCTACGTTTTTCTTTCTTTTCTTTACGCTTCAATGACGCTTGTCTCATTCTTTCACTACTAAAACCCATTTTTCTAAAATTTTTTTTCAAAAATTAGGAAAACAAAAAAATACACTGAACTTGCGCCAAAGCTCGCACCGAAATGGTCGCCTCCAAATTACAGAAAAGGACGTTTCAGTATCGCCGATTCAGTGTCTAGGTCATATTTTGGGCCATAACTTTCTTGTCTTTCCTCCGATTCGTGTAAATCTCATATCATTCGAAAGGTCTCGAGATGCGGCATCTTTTTAATAATGAACTGATCCGATCTGAACATTCTATAAAAAGTTAAAGTCAAATAAAGATATAAAATCACTATTGACCTCACTTATTCGGCGACAATTTTTTGTAGGGTGTTCTGATCAAATCAATCCTTTTAGGTAAAATAATCCCCACTTTTAGAGCTTTCGAATGATATAATAACTATTTAAATCGGTTGGGAATCAAAAAAGTTATAGCCCAAAATATGCCCCCAGATACTGAATCGGCCGATACTCAATCGTCCCCCCACCTCTTAATTGTCGATTTTTAGAAAATTCTTTTTTTTTCATCCTTTATCGCTTTTATTAATCGTTAAAAAAATTTTTAGTAATGCAAATTTAATGTCTGAACAACAAAAACAAACATTAGAGGGTTCAACAAAAACAACAAAAAACACAAATAATTCTCGTTATATGCACAGTATTTTCCAAGAGTGTGATCAATTAAAGAAAGAATACGACAATTGTTTTAACGCTTTCTTCCAGAAATTTATAAGTCCGGAATATCGACATTCTAGTGGGTTGAATAATCCTTGTGAACAAGTACATTTTGTTTATAGAGAGTGTGTTGAAAAGGTTTGAATTTGGGGAGGGGGGGGTTTGAGGGATTTTTAAGAGAAGATATCGGCATCCTTTAGATATCGAAAAATCGAGTTGTATTTATGAAGGTCTGAGGTTCCGTAGCCAGGATTTTTTTCGAGGGGGGGGGGCATGAGTCAAAGCCCAAGATCTTGTTCAAGGACATTAAATTCAGATTCATGCCCAAAAATCGGTAATAGTCAAGGATTTGGGAGACACCTTAAAAATTATTTATTTCTGAAAATCATTTTAGAATATATAAATAGGTATTTGTCAATGATTTTCAGAAGAAATAATAATTTCTAAGCTGTCTCATATTTTTCACTATTACCCAAAAATCTCTACCAATTTTTCCCTTAATTAGATAAACTTATTTCTTTCAATTAAGAATCTTAAATTGCACAAGCCTTTTGATATTGACATTGACGAAGTTCGAAAACAAGTTTTGACTGATTTGCAAAACGAAAAGGTTCGGAACGGCAATTAAACGATGAATGAATTTGTTCAAAGCGCGGTGAATGGAGGTACAACATCTGGAGGGATTAGCTCAACACAGCCAGACCAATCTTTTGAAACTCGTTTTAATAATTTGGAGAGGAATTTGGAACTTTTTCAGGTTTTTATTAAGTACTTACCCACACGTTACGGTACTTATTTACTCTCCCTCCTAGTCAATCTTTTCTTTAAATATGTAAAAAATGGTCAGTTCTGTTACAGCTCGTCGAGGTCTATAACCTATTACAGACTGACCATTTGTTACGTATTTACCGAAAAAATTTGACTGAATGGGAAAAGTAATTAACACACGTTACTCTACATAATTTTCCGAGCTTTTCTTTGCTTATATAGATAAGACGATTTAATTGAGACCTTTTCGGTATTTTTACAGAAAAATTTTTGAAAAATTATTTTTTATTTTTAAAATTTTATTTTGTTTTTATAGGAAAATGCTCGTCATATGGGTGTAATTGCTAGTGATTTTAGTGTACAGAGCCAAGAACCATTAAATCAAAAAGTTCAAACGCTCGTTTCTGGTCTTCAAGTATTTTTTTATTAAATTTTTTAGAATTTATTAAAAATATTTTTAAAGGTTTTGGATCAATTAAAAAACCAATTTGTCGATGTTCGCGTGCCTATTCGTTTGTTGGATATTTTGGATGAAGGGAACAATCCACAATTGTTTACTAAAGAAGCTTTAGAAGATACGAGGAAGAGGAATAAAGAGGTTTTTTAATTTTTAGAATTATTTTTGGGGTTTTTATATGTCATTTAAGTGTCGGTGGGAATTCTTTTTTTTCCATGTTGTTTTTGCTATAACCCTTTGACTTGGGGCAGGAACAAAAAAACCAAAAATTGGCAATAGGTTCTCTACCCGCTTTACACGATGATGCAAAAAAATACAAAATTTTTATGTACAGTTTGGGATGTTTCCTTGTTAGAATCTTTTTTATTGACTTTAAGTTTATTAATCAGAATTCTTTGGGATATATTTTAACTTTGAGACCTTAATTAGAATAATTTCTAATTTAATCTAGTTATCCAAAATTTAAAAAATTTTAAATAATTTTTTCAAGTTAAACGGCAAAACAGAAATTTATAAAAAATTTCAATACAATTTAATTCGCGAACTTAAATTGGAAATGTCTGCAGATGTCGACGAGTATTTACGTGTTAGGAAATTAATAAATGGAGGTGGAGGAGGAGGAAATGTTTCACAAACAGATGATGGAAGTTCTTCAAGAAATACTGCAAAAGAAAATGAATAAATTTTAAGTTTAAATATTTTTTTGACCAAAAACTTGGGTAAAGAAAGGAGTTTCCCAGTTTTTTAAATTTTTTGGCATCTAACAATAATTGGAGGATATCTAGGAATACCTAGGGAACAGGTTTGTCGGTTCTGGACCAAACCGAAGAACCGATGATTTTCGGTTCGGTTCTTCGGTTTTATTCCTGATATCCGAAAATTTTCTAGGAACCGACAACCCTACTAGGATGCAAGGGCGTAGCCAGAGGGGGCTTCTGGGGCTAAAGCCCCCCCCCCCCCCCCCGAAATGGGGAAAGGGAAAAAATTTGAGGAGGGGATTGGGCAAAAAATTGGCTACGCCCTTGCTAGGATGTCAAATTTATAAAATAAAATTTAAAAATATATAGAGGGTGCGGAAAATTAAATTTTTAATAATATTTTGTTAATTTTCTTGGGTAATAGTCGGGCAATTCCAATTCTTTTTTTTTTTGATTATTCTCCCAACATTTATTCCTATTTTGGGAGCACTTTTTTGTAGAATAAATAAAATAATTCAAAATTGGATAAGCTAAAAATTGATTTAATTTTCCATAAAATTTGTTTTAAAATTAAATATTAAATCAAGTTTTTTTGGTCAATTTTATTTGGTATATTTACTTATTTTGTTTTCAATTTGTTGCGGTAGATTATAATATTGTTTTTGTTAAACTTTTGAATTGATAAATTGAAGTTATTTTATTCTTTTTAATTTTTAATTCATTTTTAATTTGATATAAAAATATTTTTTTAAATTTAATTTTTTTTCTTAAATTTTTTTTTTTTCAGAAAAATGAATCGTGTTTTAAATTATTTTGCACCTAGAAATTCATTTATTGCTGAAAGAATTCGTTTTGGTGAGAATTTTCGTGAAATGAAAGTTTATTGGACAGCTTTTGCTCCAATGAGTGAGGGAACGGAAAAATTTGTGGAAAATTATTTGCCAATAATTAGGTGTGGTTGGAGGGTTTTTAAATTAATTTTGATATTTTTAGAGAGAACAATCCTCAAATTAAATTTACGTTACAGAGGGGTTATGTTAATGTTGATCCGTGGCTTATTGGAATGTTTGTATTTTTTTTTATAAAATTTATTTACTAGCTAAATTCGATTAAATATTTAAGAAATGAGGAAAATAAAAAAAGGAAGGAAGGTATCCTTAACTGTTTTCTGCAGATCAGGATTACCCGAAATTCTGACTCTTCGACTCAAAATCCGACCCTGCTTTTCTCTCAACCCGTGACTTTCTTGCTATCGATGCTGTACAAATTCCGCTAGTTAGTTCAATCCAGTAGGGACTAATCTCGAAAAATTTAAAAATTATTCTGGTAAATGGGCTGAAAATGTTGTTTGGTGATTACTAGGGTCCGGATTTTTGTTGAAATAAAATCGCAATATATGGCCATAAAATATTGAAATACAACTTTGTTCAGAATCATAATGTCGAAAAACTAGTGGCATATTTGGGCTTCTCTCGACAAAGTGTCATTGCTAAAAAAAGATTTATTTTAATAAAAATCCGGATCTTAGTGATCACTAATTTAATTCTCTGCAAAAAATATTTTTCTCTTTTTTATTCAATTAAAAATTTAAAAAATTTAGTTTTGAATTTGAGCGTAAAAGAATTCATCGTCTCTGCTGGAAAGATCCTTGCCAAATTTTGACGATGGTAGAACAATTTGCTGAGGGTGGAGATTACCGATCAAGTATTTTCGTTCTCTTTACTTTTACCAAAAATTGTTAAAAATTTTTAAAGGTTTTCGCTGCAAAGTTGCCACAATTCTCCCTCGTGGCCTTCAAATTTGGGACTGTGAAACTAAAGGTCACGACATATTTACTGTCTATAGTAAATGGAAAGCTGACCCTCCTGATCCAAATTTATTAACTTCTGCCACACATCCACATTTGTGTTATAGAGGGGTTAGAACACACAGAAAGAAACCTAGAAAAGTTAAACAATACAAAAAATAAAATTTTTAAAAATTTTTTTTTCTGTTTTGGATCTTTTGTTTTAATTAGTGAAAATAATAAATTTTGAATTAAAAAAATTTTTTAAAATGTAAAGAAGGGTGATATTTATACTTTTGCTGGGCAATCGCACTTTAATAGACAATTGCAAAATTTTAAATTAGAACACGAAATTAGAACACAAATTAGATCTCTTCTGATAATAATAATGAAATGTTTCCACATAAAAGTGTTTGTGTGTTTGGCAGGAAAGGAAGACCAAAAGGGGCAAACATTCCAACGGCAAATATTAATTCATTTTAATTCAAATAGTAAACAAAATTGATAACCATTTAAAGTTTTGATTTTTTACTAATTACTGAAAATTTCCTCTAATTAAAATTTTCCAAGTTAACAATTTAAATATTTAAAATACTACATAAATTTCCTCTAATTTACCGTATTTATTCTAATAGAATGGCCGCCATTCTATTTTTCAATGCCCCAAAAAATTGTTAGGTATTCAATTGGAGGGCAATTAAATTAGAATAAATACGGTAGTTCATTCTCCCCTTTAATTTAAACTAGAGTTGGACAAAACGATACTGGTATCGGCCAACCCGAGACCGAGATTGACCGATACTCAAGAACCCGATACCGAGACCGATACCATCATTTTGAGCCGAGAAACGATACTGACCGAGACTAACAGAAATTTTAATTTTATGTCAAAAAATACGTGTAAAAATAATTTATTCGTTATTATTAGTAATTATTATTCAGCGGCTGCGGCGCTGTAAAACGAGGAAGGTATTTAATTTTGAGGAGGTATCAACCGACAAGTAATGTCATTCGATTTAGAGCGATTAGAATTAATTATATATTCGGGGGATTAACAACATTTAAAGGGCAAAGAAGGCTACCTGTGGAATCCTTCCAGGATACAAGAAGGGATTAAGAAGGGTATCAGAGGATTTAGATGGATAAATTGGAGGGATCAAGGAAATTTAAAAAGATACCATGGGATGTCGGTGAGTTGGGGAGATAGCAAAGGATGAAGGCTATCAGCAGTTATGGATTGATGCGGGGATATCAGGGGATTTGGAGGGATATCGGGTGATCTGAGCTCCAGATATTGAACCGATAATTTTCTGAGCCGTTCCATGATGGAAAATTGGTATTCAAATACCTTGCTTTCAGCGCCGCAGGCAAAAATTTTGAGAATTCGGCGCTATCTTAATATAATGCGGCAATCAAATTTTTTCTTTCATTTTTTCCTTTCCATATTTTTCCTTATTTTGTACAGAAAGGTCATACTTTTTCCCTCGTTCACTTCAAATGAATTTTCCTGTGGCATCTTCAAATGTAATTATAGGGAAAAGATTAAAAGCAAAAAATAAGAAATATTACATTTTTGTGTTGTCTGGCAGAAAACACGGACAGACAAAACACGGACGGACGACACGGACGGTCACAGACAGACAAAACACGGACGGTCCTTGTTTTGTCTGTCCGAGTCCGTCCGTGTTCTGTCTGACGTGTTCGGTCGTGTTTTCTGTCCGAGTCAGTCCGTGTTTTGTCTGTCCGTCTTCGTCCGTGTTGGAAAGGAAAAAAATGAAAGGAAAAAATTGAATATGGAAAGGAAAAAATGAAGGAAAAAATTTGATTGCCGCATTATATTAAGATAGCGCCGAGAATTCTATAAGTGCAAGTCAGCAGATTTCTTCCAATTTTCAGCGCCGCAGGCGCTGAAAATTGGACTAAGATATTTCATTTTAACATGGATTGGCCCCAGTTACGTAATGCAACAACCTCCTATAGATCCAGGCCATGAAAATCTTAATTATGGTGCCGGCGTTGACGCTTGGATAAGAAATTGGATAGCGAATGAAAATTTACACGATAGGATAGCTCTTTTCCCAATTCCGGTACACGCCCAAAATTTTTCATATATTCTATTTCTCTTTAGTTATGGAACTTAACTGAACGGCTGGAATATGGTTTGAGTCGTACTAATAATAGCTTAGAGGCTTGGCATCGAGTTTGGTCTACTTTGCTTCATAGAAACCCTCGTATGAGCCAATTCGTAAGAAGAATGTTAAAGGAATTCACACGATGGGAAGAAATTGTAAGAGAATACTATAATGCTCCGGCTGATGGTATAAGGTGTTATTGGATACTAAGTAGTTATTTAATTAAGAATAATTATTTAGGGGTAAAGGTATTCGTCGAAAGGCGATTTATGTTAATCAAGATGCAAACTTACAACAAATATACGCTGAATTCGAACAGAGATCACAGAACCCACTCAATTATCTGAGAACAATTTCTTACCGATTAGCACAACATTAGATTTCTTTTTAAAAATCTCTGAATACTGTACAATTGTCCACTGTACAATTGTCCACTGTACAATTGTCTCACTGTACAATTGTCTCACTGTACAATTGTCATGGAGCCGATAATGAATGGATGATACTGAATCGTCCCCCACCCCCTTTAATTGGGCTCCATGACAATTGTACAGTGAGACAATTGTACAGTGAGACAATTGTACAGTGGACAATTGTACAGTGGACAATTGTACAGTATTCAGAGATTTTTAAAAAGAAATCTAATGTTGTGCTAATCGGTAAGAAATTGTTCTCAGATAATTGAGTGGGTTCTGTGATCTCTGTTCGAATTCAGCGTATATTTGTTGTAAGTTTGCATCTTGATTAACATAAATCGCCTTTCGACGAATACCTTTACCCCTAAATAATTATTCTTAATTAAATAACTACTTAGTATCCAATAACACCTTATACCATCAGCCGGAGCATTATAGTATTCTCTTACAATTTCTTCCCATCGTGTGAATTCCTTTAACATTCTTCTTACGAATTGGCTCATACGAGGGTTTCTATGAAGCAAAGTAGACCAAACTCGATGCCAAGCCTCTAAGCTATTATTAGTACGACTCAAACCATATTCCAGCCGTTCAGTTAAGTTCCATAACTAAAGAGAAATAGAATATATGAAAAATTTTGGGCGTGTACCGGAATTGGGAAAAGAGCTATCCTATCGTGTAAATTTTCATTCGCTATCCAATTTCTTATCCAAGCGTCAACGCCGGCACCATAATTAAGATTTTCATGGCCTGGATCTATAGGAGGTTGTTGCATTACGTAACTGGGGCCAATCCATGTTAAAATGAAATATCTTAGTAGATCTACAAAAAGCTAATAAATTAAACTGAATTTAAACCTATAATCTGAGGGTGTTCCACATGATTAAAATCCTCAACAAGTATACAAAAGAAAGTATAGACCTCAGCAGGTGGTACAAATGCAAGAGCCTAAATTACTATAATGGGAAAAATAAATATTATTAGCCTGAAATGATCTGAGCTTATGGCGAACTTCTTCATTATTAATATATAATTGATTTAGCTGGGGAAGATTTTGTATTTTTTTAAATATTGCATTTCCCATATGGAAGTTACACCCTAAGATATTTTCAGATTATATTTGCAGTTTATTTTAACCAGATTTTTGTGACTCTGGAAATACTTGCTCAATAGCATTTAATGCCGACAATTCAAAGTCTGACATAATACGGGCAGGCATAAAATTTGGCAGCTGTTGTCGGACAGCCTGAAATACTCTAACATAATTATCTGTGCTTTTTGAAGGAAGAAGAGCGAAAACAGCTGGAATTGCACATTGATCCACTACTACATGAATAGTAAATATTTGTGTAAAACCTCGTGGGGCTGTCTGAAAATTAAATAATAATAATAATTTGATAAAATAAAGCAGCTAGGCTATAGCTATTTCTCTCCTTTAGCTAGGGCAAAAGGTTATTCGGCGGCTGGGAGCGAACCAGCATCTTCAGTAGACCGGACTGATGTGTTAGCCATTACACCACGCCGTTTACTGCTCAGCCTTAGGAAATTAATAGCTATATGCTTTACAATAATTCTACTTCAAAGGTGCCATCAATGGCAATTTCGTGAGGATATTGTGTTAACATTTCAAAAGAAAATGGGGGTGCAAATACAAAAATCCTTTTGTTTGCATTATGGATAAATATATTCTCATCGAGAATAATAAATCGGTTCAAATATTCAGGAATAATTATTGCTGTAGGGTTTATTGCGTCTAGGCCTCTATCTCCCAATTCTTCTTGAGAACGACGCTTAGCCCTCTGGTAAGTTTTAGACATGGCGGAAGTGGAAGGAGCATTTGGGCGTATAGCTATATTGATAGTGGCCCGAGATTGATCAACTGCCTCTCTTGTCGATGTCGGATTTTCCACTTGTGCAAAATTTTTTAATTTTTCAATGGCACGTCGAATCTGCATTTAAAAAACTTTTAATGTTAATATACAGAATTTGCCGATTGATTCTCCGGAACTGCAGCATGGTTGTGATTTCCATTTGTAATTTTTCCACGCTTAAATCTTAATTCGTTTATTTCATGCCATTCTCCAATAACGTGTATTCTGGCAGGACAATAACCATTTCTAACCTAATTAAAAATTTTCCCTCATTCATATGCTTTAAAACTACCTTTATACACCTCCAATACTCAACACCTTCTTGTGTTCTACTTTCAGCCTCAAAATAATATTCAAATCCTCCCCTTGTAAGCAAACTTCTCCTTCTTTCAGATTTTACTTCAAAAAATTCTAAATTATATTCGTTTTGCACATTTTCATGATGTTGATCCATAACTATTTCTCCTTCCTCAATTTCTGATTCTGTATCTGAAACAATTTCCCCTTCATCTTCGCTTGAACTCATTAAAATGAAAAAACTAGCCTATTATGAGGAAAAATTAAATAGGTATATGAATTGAATATGGATAATTGTTTTGAAATTTTGACTTAATATATGTAATAAAAATTAATCTAGTGAGAATTTCTTCTCTAGAAATTGTTTATGATACACAGACAACAATTTATTAAAAAATTAAATAATAAACAGCTTTTTATTTTACGCTGTTTCATTAATAGAGACATCTGGTGCCAACAATAGGGAATGGAAATTTAAAATATTTTTACTAGAGAAGTAAAAACCAAATTTATCAAAAAGTTTAATATTGTTTATGATAAATAATAATACTAACAATAAGTTTAATGAAAATTTTAATACAAACATATGTAATACATATTTATTATTTTGTAAAAAATAAATTTGTTTATCTAAATTCTATCAAATACTTTCTCCTTTTATTTAATTTTATCAGATTTCTATCAAACAATTTCTATCAAATATTTTTAAAAACATCTGGATACTGTACAATTGTCCACTGTACAATTGTCCACTGTACAATTGTCTCGCTGTACAATCGTCTTACTGTACAATTGTCGTGCCACCTTTAATTGTCGTTTTTTTTAGAAAAATTTTTTTTCCTTTTTTTGTCGCTTTTATTAATTGTTAAAATTTTTTTTAGTTATGCAAATTTAATGTCTGAACAACAAAAACAAACATTGGAAGGTTCAACAAAAACAACAAAAAACACAAATAATTCTCGTTATATGCACAGTATTTTCCAAGAGTGTGATCAATTAAAGAAAGAATACGACAATTGTTTTAACGCTTTCTTCCAAAAATTTATAAGTCCGGAATATCGACATTCTAGTGGTTTGAATAATCCTTGTGAACAAGTACATTTTGTTTATAGAGAGTGTGTTGAAAAGGTTTGGCTTTTTTTGGGGAGGGGGTGGAGGGAAGTTTTGAGGGATTTTTAAGGGGGGAATTTGGAGGAGAGGGGAAAATTAAGAGGGGAATTTGGGAGGCGTTCTTTAGATATCGAAATCGAGTTGGGGTTAGTCAAGGTCTGAGGTTTCATAGATTCAAAGCCCAATATCTTGTTCCAGGACATTAAATCCAGATTCATGCCCAAAAATCGGTAATAGTGACGAATCTTTGAAATTCCTTTAAAAAAATTTTTTTTCAGAAAATCATTTATTTTTTCCAGCTAATGATTTTCAGAAGAAATAATAATTTTTAAAGATGTCTCCCAGATTCTTCACTATTACTTAAGATCTCCCTCAATTTTTCCCTTAATTAGATAAAATTATTTCTTTCCATTTAAGAATCTTAAATTGCACAAGCCTTTTGATATTGACATTGACGAAGTTCGAAAACAAGTTTTGACTGATTTGCAAAACGAAAAGGTTCGGAACGGCAATTAAACGATGAATGAATTTGTTCAAAGCGCGGTGAATGGAGGTACAACATCTGGAGGGATTAGCTCAACACAGCCAGACCAATCTTTTGAAACTCGTTTTAATAATTTGGAGAGGAATTTGGAACTTTTTCAGGTTTTTATTAAATACTTCCCGCACGTTTCGGACTTATTCACTTCCCTTTCAGTCAATTTTTTCGGTAAATATGTAAAAAATGGTCAGTTCTGTCACAGCTCGACGAGTTCTATAACTTATTACAGACTGAACATTTGTTAAGTATCTTCCGAAAAAATTGACTGGGTGGAGGAAGTAAATAAGTACCTACACGTTACTCCTCCACATAAGTTTCATCGGTTCAGGGTTGTCTTTGCTTACTAGGATAAGACTGGATTTAATTGAGACCTTTCCAGTATTTTTGCCGAAAAATTTTTGAAAAATTAATTTATTTTTAAAATTTTATTTCGTTTTTAAAGGAAAATGCTCGTCATATGGGTGTAATTGCTAGTGATTTTAGTGTACAGAGCCAAGAACCGTTAAATCAAAAAGTTCAAACGCTCGTTTCTGGTCTTCAAGTATTTTTTTCTTGAATTTTTTTTAATTTTTTTAAAAATATTTTTAAAGGTTTTGGATCAATTAAAAAACCAATTTGTTGATGTTCGCGTGCCTATTCGTTTGTTGGATATTTTGGATGAAGGGAACAATCCACAATTGTTTACTAAAGAAGCTTTAGAAGATACAAGGAAGAGGAATAAAGAGGTTTTTTTTAATTTTTAGAATTATTTATGGGGGTTTTTATATTTCATTTAAGAGCCGGGGAAAATTCTTTTTTCCACGTCGTTTTTGCTATAACTTTTCGATTTGGGGTGAGGGCCAAAAATTGACAATAGGTTTTTTTCAAAATTGACAATACGTACAGTTTGGAATGTTCCCATTGTCAGCATGTTTGTGTTGACTTTAAGTTTATTAATCAAAATTTTTTGGGGTATATTTAAAATTTGAGGGACGTTAATTAATTTTTAATTTAATCTAGTTATCCAAAATATTGAAAAAAAATTTTTAAATAATTTTTTCAAGTTAAACGGCAAAACAGAAATTTATAAAAAATTTCAATACAATTTAATTCGCGAACTTAAATTGGAAATGTCAGCAGATGTCGATGAATATTTGCGTGTTAGGAAATTAATAAATGGTGGTGGAGGTGGAGGAAATGTTTCACAAACAGATGATGGAAATTCTTCAAGAAATACTGCAAAAGAAAATGAATAAATTTAAAGTTTAAATATTTTTTTTTTGACTAAAAACTTGGGTAAAGAAAGGGTGTTTCCCAATTTTTTAAAATATTTTTTGGCATTTAACAATATGTGTCTGATATCTAGGGAATAGAGTTGTCGGTTCTGGACCAAACCGAAGAACCGATGATTTTTCGGTTCGGTTCTTCGGATTTGTTTCTAATATCCAAAAATTTTCCAGGAACCTACAACTCTACTAGGATGGCAAATTTATAAAATAAAATTTAAAAATATATTTTGGGTGCGGAAAATTAAATTTTTATCAATATTTTGTTAATTTTCTGGGGTCACAGTCGGAGAATTCCAATTTTTTTTAATTATTCTCCCAACATTTATTCCTATTTTGGGAGTACTGTTTTGTAGAATAAATAAAATAATTCTAAATTGGATCAGCTAAAAATTCATTTATTTTCCATAAAAATTGTTTTAAATTAAATATTAAATCAAGTTTTTTTGGTCAATTTTATTTGGTTTATTTACTTATTTTTTTTCAATTTGTTGGAGTAGATATTTTGATATTGTTTTTGTTAAACTTTTGAATTGATAAATTGAATTATTTTATTTTTTAAAAATTTCTATTCATTTTTAATTTGATATGAAAATATTTTTTTAATTAAAAAAATAGTTTTTTTTCTAAATTTTTTTTCAGAAAAATGAATCGTGTTTTAAATTATTTTGCACCAAGAAATTCATTTATCGCTGAAAGAATACGTTTTGGTGAGAATTTTCGTGAAATGAAAGTTTATTGGACTGCTTTTGCTCCGATGAGTGAAGGAACGGAGAAATTTGTGGAAAATTATTTGCCAATAATTAGGTGGGGTTTGGAGGGGGTTTTCTAAAATTAATTTTGGTATTTTTTAGAGAGAACAATCCTCAAATTAAATTTACGTTACAAAGGGGTTATGTTAGTGTTGATCCGTGGCTTATTGGAATGTTTGTATTTTTTTAAATTAAATTTGTCTTTTAAAAAATTTACAAGTTAAAATTTAATTAAATATTTAAGAAATAAGGAGAATAAAAAAGGACGCAAGATATTATTAACCTTTTTACTACTAATCAGGATTACCCAAGATTCTGACCTTTTTCTGACTCCAAAAGCCGACCCTGCTTTTTTCTCAACCCGTGACATCTCTGCTATCGTTGCGGTGCAAATACCGTTACGTTTAGTTTTTATAATCCTGTAGGGGCTAATCCAGAAAAATTATAAATTACTCCGGGAAATGGGCCGAAAATGCGGTTTGGTGATCACTAGGGTCCGGATTTTTATTGAAATAAAATCGCAATATATGGCCATAAAATATTGAAATACAACTTTGTTCAGAATCATAATATCGAAAAACTAATAGCATATTTGGGCTTTTCTCGACAAAGTGTGTTTGCAAAAATGATTTATTTTAATAAAAACCCGGACCCTAGTGATCACTAATTTAATTTTTTAAATATTTTTCTCTTTTTATTCAATTAAAATACTCAAAATTTTTTAGTTTTGAATTTGAGCGTAAAAGAATTCATCGTCTCTGTTGGAAAGATCCTTGCCAAATTTTGACGATGGTAGAACAATTTGCTGAGGGTGGAGATTACCGATCAAGTATTTTCGTTCTCTTTTACCAAAAAAATTTTTAAATTTTTAAAGGTTTTCGCTGCAAAGTTGCCACAATTCTTCCTCGTGGCCTTCAAATTTGGGACTGTGAAACTAAAGGTCACGACATCTTTACTGTCTATAGTAAATGGAAAGCTGACCCTCCAGATCCAAATTTATTGACTTCTGCCACACATCCACATTTGTGTTATAGAGGGGTTAGAACACACAGAAAGAGACCTAGAAAAGTTAAACAATACAAAAAATAAAATCAAAAAAATTTGTTTTTTTGATTTGGATCTTTTGTTTTAATTAGTGGAAATAATAAATTTTGAATTAAAAAAATTTTTTTAAATGTAAAGAAGGGTGATATTTATACTTTTGCTGGGCAATCGCACTTTAATAGATAATTGCAAAATTAAAAATTAGAACACGAAATTAGAACACAAATTAGATCTCTTCTGATAATAATTGTCTTTCTTGAGCAACAATTGTTAATGAAATGTTTCCACATAAAAGTGTTTGTGTGTTTGGCAGGAAAGGAATGTCGCGAAGCGACTGAAGATGAGGGAAATAAAAATAAATATATTTTTTGGATTTTTATTTATTTAATTTCTAAATTAATCATCATTCATTGCAAATTCCTTTTTCGGACTTTTACCTTCTAAAAAACCATTTTTTATGTAAACATTCTATTCAAACCATATTTACATTTTTAGATCTTTTGTTCTAAAACTTAACTTAATTTTTTCCTCTTTTGTATTATTCAAAAAATGTGCATTTTATTTTATCGCTCCTATTATGTTTTAATGATCGAAAATATTTTCTAACCTTACCCGCCTATTTTTTGTTCCCTTTATAAGGCCCTTTCTAAAATACACTTTATCTTCTCTTGAACTGTTCTTTGCTGTTTTGTCGCTGTGCTTATTTAAATTGGAAATAAAACTTTATTAATTGATCGAAGTGTTTTTTGGTTGGAATAAACCTTAGGCTAAATTTTGCTTGGTAGAAAAAACCTGGACTTAGATTTGAGCTCTCTCTCCACAAGGAAGACCAAAAGGGGCAAACATTCCAACGGCAAATATTAATTCATTTTAATTCAAATAGTAAACAAAATTGATAACCATTTAAATTTTTGATTTTTTTACATAATACTTACTAATTACTGAAAATTTCCTCTAATTAAAATTTTCCAAGTTAACAATTTAAATATTTAAAATACATAAATTTCCTCTAATTTACCGTATTTATTTTAATAGAATGGCCGCCATTCTATTTTTCAATGCCCCAAAAAATTGTTAGGTATTCAATTGGAGGGCAATTAAATTAGAATAAATACGGTCGTGTCGACGCAGAAGACCCACAGACAGAAGACCCAAGGACAGAAGACCCACAGACAATAGACCCACAGACAGAAGACCCACACAAACAGAATACCCACAGACAAAAGACCCACAAATATTTTTTATAGTATATTTATTTTTTTGTATATACATATTTTGGCGCGGGGTATTAAAACGGGGGGTGTTGTTCCAAGAACGGGATATTGACTTATAAGGTTTTTCGTTTATCGATAGATTTAGTCGAATAAAGTGGCATTCGAAAGAGCTCGGAAATCTGAATAAAATACATAAATGCGAATGAAGCAGATCCGGCATTCCAGGACCGAGTTATAGCCTTCCGGAAATACCACAGTCGTGACCAAACAGGTTTTGATATGAAAAATTCGAATGGGCCCTTGAAAGAGCTCGATGATCTCTGACGAATGATAGCAAACTCAGCTTGATTCGATGGTTCTAACAAAATTATATTATAATATACTGAATTATAAAGATTAGGATGAATTCTTTAGGTCCGAATAGGTCTGAATTCTATGACTGAAAACGGGTAAAAAAGTAATAGGATTATGTTAATGAGTGCTTCCATGGGTTTACCTTGTTTATTTATATCGTAATTTTGTCCAAACTTGTCAATCACAGTGATTTTAACGTTATTCGACTCCCCCGCCCCCCCCCCCCCCAACCGATAGAATACCCAAGGAAGATTTTTACGGTGCCGGACCACACCGACGGGATTTTAGAATATTTGTACTCATCCCATTTATAGACTTTTAGGTACTTTGCACCTGTACCGAAAAAATCTTTTTGACGGATTTTCCAAACCACTAAATTTTTTTGCTTATCATTGTTATTTTTCTCATGTGTAGTTTTTGGAGATAGAAAGAATAACGGCTAAAAATTTTTCCTTGTGGGTCTTTTGTCTGTGGGTATTCTGTCCCTGTGGTTCTTCTGTCTGTGGGTCTTTTGTCTGTGGGTCTTCTGTCCTTGGGTCTTCTGTCTGTGGGTCTTCTGTCACTACGCCAAATACGGTAGTTCATTCTCCCCTTTAATTTAAACTAGAGTTGGACAAAACGATACTGGTATCGGCCAACCCGAGACCGAGATTGACCGATACTCAAGAACTCGATACCGAGACCGATACAATTATTTTGAGCCGAGACCGAGAAACGATACTGACCGAGACTAACAGAATTTTAATTTTATGTCAAAAAATACGTGTAAAAATAATTTATTCGTTATTATTAGTAATTATTATTCAGCGGCTGCGGCGCTGAAAAATGAGGAAGGTATTTAATTTTGAGGAGGTATCAACCGACAAGTAATGTCATTCGATTTAGAGCGATTAGAATTAATTATATATTCGGGGGATTAACAACATTTAAAGGACAAAGAAGGCTACCTGTGGAATCCTTCCAAGATACAAGAAAGGATTAAGAAGGGTACCAGAGGATTTAGATGGATAATTTGAAGGGATCAAGGAAATTTAAAAAGATACCATGGGATGTCGGTGAGTTGGGGAGATAGCAAAGGATGAAGGCTATCAGCAGTTATGGATTGATGCGGGGATATCAGGGGATTTGGAGGGATATCGGGTGATCTGAGCTCCAGATACTGAACCGATATTTTTCTGAGCCGTTCCATGATGGAAAATTGGTATTCAAATACCTTGCTTTCAGCGCCGCAGGCAAAAATTTTGAGAATTCTACAAGTGCAAGTCAGCAGATTTCTTCCAATTTTCAGCGCCGCAGGCAAAAATTTTTGAATTTTAGAAGACCTTATTCAAAAACAATTCACTTTCTCTGTTATGGACGGATATCCGAAAAAAATTATGGACGAAAACTTGGATAATATTGAGGATTTTGTTCTTTGAGTCAGTATCGTTTCTCGCCGAGAAATGGACCGAGAATCTCGGTATCGGTTTCGAGACCGAGAGTGGAGAATTCTTTATGGTGCAAGAACGATTAAAAATCGACCTTGCCTTCAATACATAATTGTAGAAGACAATTATTTTTCAGTTAACCTCTTTTAAGATTTAAATAAATTTTTTAAAAATAATTTCTTTTTTTCTCGTCCCATCTATAAACCTTTAAATATTTGCATAAAGATAATAAAAAATATTCAAAACAAACATCGTGTATAAAATAGATTCAAAACTTTAAGAGAAAATTTTCTATCTATTTTGTGTTTTTAACACACATATTTACAGAATACACAATGATGTTAAAAAATGTTTATTTTAATTCCAGAATATTTTTTTGTGAAAATGAAATCATAAAATGCAAAATATGCATAAATTATTTTCCTAAAAAATTAGAAAAAATTTAAAATTTGTAAAAATTATTTTAAATACAGTATGGCAGACTTGGGTTTTATTAAATACCATTTAAAGTTTAAAAAATAGTACTATATATTAATGAGAGGTATATACAAGTCGAAATTTCAAGTTAATCGGCATTTATCAGTGTTGCTATTTTCCTGTATTCTCTCTTTAATAAGATAAATTGGGGAAACTTAGTCCCTCTAAAAGGCTAGATCAGCTATCAATTTTTCGATTTGGGGGAAAGGGCCAAAAAGCCAAAAATTGGCAAATAGTTATCGTTCATGCTCTACTTGATGGCATAAATGGAGTAAACTTAGTCTCTCCAAAAGGCTTGATCAGCCACAATTTTTCGATTTGGGGGAAAGGGCCAAAAATTGGCTAATTATCGTTCATGCTCTACACGATGATGTAATTTTTATTTAGAAATTTTTGGTCAAATTTTGCGAGGTTCCCTTTTTATTGTGAAAGTATCTCTTTTAGTCCCCTTCTTTTATTGTCCAAACAAATATTAAAAAATCGAATTCTCTCAATATCTTTCTTAAAAGCCTCCTTAGAAATCAAAAATCGTAAATATAAAAACTCAGGTTAAAAACTTTTTTCGAAAACCATAAAAATTTAAACAAACAATGGACGAACACTTTTCAAGAATATTTTTTAAAAATATAGCAAGAAATCACAAAATAATAAAAAATGTTGGTAATATTTGAATAATATATATTATGTAAAAACTTGTTAAAAAGTTTTATTTTTTTATGTTATCACTTTTAATTTACAAAAATAAGTTTTTTTTCTGTTTGTCCAAGTTTTATGATATCATTGTTAAAAAATTTTAGTTGAGGGACAAACATATTTAGTGCCATAAATATATAAATTCATTTTTGGGAGAGGGAGAGAAACTCCCTCAAACTCCTCTCAACTTTTCATTTATTTTTTAAAAATAAATTTGCAATTTTTTTAAAAATTCCTAAGCAACTTTCCCCTCCTTCATACCTTCCATTTTTTGATTAAAATAATTTTGAAATTTCATTTCAAAAAGAGCCAATTAATATTACAAAAAATTTAGAAATAATTTAAAAATGTTCACACAAATTATTTAAAAAATTTCAAAATAAAAGATAAGAAGGGAATTTAATTTTAAATGATAAGCACAAAATTTTAAAAAACAAACTATATAATTATAAGTATATAAATTTAGAAATAAGCACTAAAATAATTTTTGGTTTTTGATAAAAAATAATTTAATTTTAAGGTGAGAATATTGACACTTTAATTTTATAATTATCTTTTATATAGTATTTATTCTCTTAAATTAAATTTAAAAAAAGTACAGATACTAGCCGATATTCCGAAGCTTTTGCTACGATGCTCTTCGATATCGGTATTTTCCCGGTATATCAAATACCGAAAAAGGCCATTTGCCGAACACGGCTAGATATCTGTATTTATGTACATTATGCGTTTTTTAATTCTAATTTAAATCCATAAGCGTTTTTTAAGTCCATATTAATATCCTAATAGAAGCCCTGGGCTTGTATTTTTCAATACACCTCATTGAGTGGGCTTCTATTAGGACATTCACTGTAGATTTTATTATATACAATTAATGAGAAGTATCCTATAACTAGGACTGGGCCCTATTTTAATTCAAATTTTTTGATAATCGGAATCTGAGCACTTAAAATTAATTAAAAGATGAATAGAATCTGGGTTTATGAACGGGTACATTTAAAAGATTAATTAAAAAATCTCAAATTAATTTTTAATTTAAAAAATTGTTTAGATATAATTTTATTTTTAATTTTTCAACAAATAATTCGTGTTTTTATTTAAAAATTAATTTAAAATTAAATTAATTAAATTGCCGGACCAATTTGTTGGCTTAACAAATTCAATTAATTTTAGACTACAAACAACAAACATCCGTGTTAAATTATTAGTTTATTTAATTAGCTTTAGCTGATGAGTGAGAATTAAAAATATTTTTATTTTTGTATTTAATAAAATTATTTTATATTATTTTAATTTTATATTCTAAAATTAAATTTTTCTCTTTTCTTTTTTTGATCTCAAAATAGTTTGAATATAAGAATTTTTCTAAAAAAATAAAAATTATTTTACAGAAACATATCTAAAAAAGACAAAAAGAGGAGGGCAAACTCCTTATTAGAGATCGAGATTTTTGAAAAGCCTGACCTGTTCCTGGACTCTGGGTTTGATTTATTGACCTGGACTGGACCCTGGGCCAGTAGTCCAGGAAAAAACCCAGACCCAGGAATAACCCAGGAAGGTCAAAAATGCCTGGACCTGGATTCTGGGTACAGGAAAAGTCCAGGCCTTGATCCAGGTCCAGCTCGATTTCTACTCCTTATAATTTAATTTATAAAATTAATTTAAAAATGCCATTTTCCATAATCCAATTTTCAAAAAATAAATTAAAATAATTTTTTTCAAATTATTTTAATTTTCTCTATTAATTTACAAACTATAAAATACAAAATAAATTAATTAATATAATTTATTTTACTTTTCTCTTTTAATTTTTAAAAAATTATTTTATGGGTTGTCTAATAAATATTTATTTTTTCTAATAATTTATTTTATTTAAATAATTCTTTCTTCTATAAAATTAAATTTATTTATGCTTGTTTCCCCTCATAACAAAAATATTATTTGTGATTATTAAATTACTTTTTATTGTTATTTAATAGAGAATTAAATTGTTTATAAAATAAAAATAAATAAAAAATTTATATATTTTTTCAGAAAAAATTTTTAAAAAATTGGAAAAAAATTTTTTTTAATTTTTTAATGAAAATATTTATTTTTTGAGGGGTTTTAGACAATAAATTAATTTTATTTTTTACTTAAAAATTTTTATATTTTAATAAATTATTAATAAATTTATTTCTCTATTAACTGACACAAATAAAATATTTTAAAAATTATTTCTATTAATTATTAATTTTAGCTTTAGCTCTAGTAAACGTCATGCTTTCTGTTCTCCATTTTATGCTATTTTCTAAGCTTTACTCTGTCTACTCTAAGCTAAGCTTTTCTTTCTTTTCTAAGCATAAACTACTACATACACACTACAAACATCCATATAGCTTTTAAGCTCGTTCCTTTTTTATTCTAACGTTCTTGCTTTAATGTTTGTATATTTGCTAGCTTAAAAATGCTTACTTACATTTTCCTTAAAATTTATCAATTATTTTTAAAATATTAAAAGAAAAGTTTCCTAGTTTAAACTTGAATTTAAAATTGAAACTAAGCTTGTTTTTAATTTAAAACTTGTTTAAGAATTAATGTTTGATACTTAAGTTTTCAAGTTTGAACTTTAAAGTTTTAAAACTTAATTTTGATTAAAAATAAACTTTAAAATAAAATAAACTTGAATTTTGCATTTTAAGTTTAATCAACTTTAAACAAGTTTAAGCTTAAGTTTAAACAAAAGTTCAAACTTAAGTTAAGTTTAAACTTAAAAATAAATAAAGTTTAAACTTGAAAATAAATAAAGTTTAAACTTGATTGTTTAAGTTTAATAATTATGACTAAGACTATTCTTAAGCTAGTAAACTTTAAGATTAATCTTAAAAAATATTTTTTTCGTGATATTATTTACAATATTAATTAAAATTTATATGTATTTATTTTATATTTATTTTCTATAATTTTTAATTTTTTTAAATTTAATTTCGCAACAAACTTTTATTAAAATTATATTTTCCCATTATTATTAATTGTATGTTTACATTCTTATTTTTAACACATTTTTTCAAATTATTTTCATTTGAACTATTGTAGGTAGTACTTAAATTTTAATTTAATTTTATAGACAAACTATTAAATATTGATTTTCTTATATTTTATTTTTTAAAAATTAAATGTACTAAATAATTTTATTTTATAAAAATTATTTTCTTTAAAATTTAATTTTTTATTTTATAAAATTTCCTCTGTATTTTATATAGATATTAATTTCATTTTAAAAATGTTCTCTTTCAACAAGATATTAATAAGAAAAATTATTTTTAATCTAAGAATTTTAATCTAAATTTAATTAATTTTAATTTAAAAAAATCTTTTATTTTTTATGAGAGTTTAGTTTATTTTCTATAGCTCCCAAAAAATATCTTTAAGATTTGAAGTTTCTGTCTAAATTAATTGAGATATACAAATATTTCGGAATTTCTTTGAGGTCTTTCCAAAAATTACTAAAAGTAATTCTATAATTTAACCAAATTTTTAAAATTTTTAATAAATTTAATTAATCTATTTTTATTATGACTTTACCTAATTTCTGTTCCTTTTATATTTATTTTCTGTTTAAAAATTTTTTGTCCCTCTAAAATCCATTTGTTTAAACAAAATCCTCCTTTAAATAATTTTAAAAGGATAAAAAGACTTTAAAAAATTTTATTTTAAATATTCCTTTACTTTTTTGGACAATAATTATTTAATTAAATATAAATTAATTCTTTAAATTTTTATTTGAAATTATTTTTATTTTTAATTTATTTTTAAATATTTATTGAAAGCATTTTAATCGTCTATAAATATTTTTAAAAATTAAATTATAATAAAAAATCACTTTTTTTATTTATTTTCTATTAAAAATAAATTAATTACAAATTCCTTTCTTTAAAATCATGCTCTGAATCCGTTCCTGTTTTTACATTTATTTTATTTTTAAATTAATCTTACGCAATACATTAGCCTTTAATCCCTTATATGTATATTTTATTAATTATTTACTTTCTTTTTAAATTTACAATTAAACAAGCTTCTATCCATTTAAAATTTTAGAAATATAATAATTTAATTAATCTACATACCATAAATTTCCTAAATTTAAGCCTGGCCCTATTAAACTCCCAATCAATGAGGCCTATTGAAAAATTGACGTCCAAGGCTTTTATTAGATAACCAAAATTTATGTGATAATTAAATATATATTTTTATAAATGAAAAAGATAGCAACATCTTGCATAAACAAATAAATAAATTAAATAAGTCTTTCTCATAATTTAATTAAAAATACACTTCTTGACCCGAAAATAGTTTTTATTAAATAATTATCTACATATAAAATACTTATTTTCGTCATTATTTGTTATATTTAAAAATAGGTTAAGAATAATAAACAAATTGGAACAAATAAAAATATTTTTAAATGTCTGGAATTATTAAAGGAAATTGTCTAGTAGAATATGTTTTCTATTGTTTAACGAGAAAATATTTATTTTTATTATGCAAGATGTTGTTTTTTTTATTTTTTTCAAAAATATTTTTTTTCAACTCAGAGCTGAAAAAATACATTCGAATCTCTCTCATCTGGTACCCCCTTTCCTTCATATATACATATATCAGCTTGATTTGGTCTTGAGGGTGATATATTGGAGAGGTTTGAATGTATCTAGTAAACATTGTTGATCATAAAAGTTTTTCCAAAAAATTTAATTTTGCTTGAACAAAAAATGTAAAATCTTGATATTTTTAAGAAAAACATCAAGAATTAAGACCTCACACAAATTTTGGTCTTTTTTAGAAGCTTGTAAAATGACAATTTAAAAAATAAAATGTTTTAATTTTTTTAATATTAGTCTTTTCCTTTCTCTCTCATTAAAAGCTTAACTTTTCTAAAAAAAATTTTTTTCCTGCTTAAATAATTTTTTCCAAATTGCTTTTATCCCTAAAATGCTTTTTTTTCTTTCCCAAAGAGCTTTTAAAAAATTTCTTTTAAACAATGCCTGTTGATAATTCTTCTCACTTAATAAATAATTCTCACACATCAAATAGCAATATAAAAAATAAAAATGAAAAAATTGAGGAAATAAATAAAAATAATGAACAACTAAAATTAGAAAATGTGCCTTTATTGGTCCGGCAAGAGGAGGAGGAGGAAGAAGAAAAAAATAAAAAAATTTCTTCTCCTTCAAAAAATAATAATTTTTATAGAAAATTAAAAGAAAATTTTGACGAAAAAAATATTTTGGGAAAAGAAGAAGAAAATATTTCTGATATAGAATCGAAAGAAGAATTTTCTATTAAAGGAAGAAAAATGTCCTTAAAAGTTTTTGATTCTAAAATAGGGGGGAAAAGAAGGAGAAAAACTTCTTTAATTAAAGAAAAGTTTGGAGGTGCAAGTTTTGGTGAAATGGTTGGTGTTTTTATTTTTTAAGGAAAATATAGGTATTTAAATAAAACACAAAACATCACTTAAAATAAACAAAAACATGTGTTATTATACCGTATGTCTTCAAATAGAGCCCCACCTTAATTAGAGCCCCGTCCCCTAATACAGCCCCAACTTGGAGGGGAGCAGGCCAGTGTACCGCGAGCCCAATAACTTTCTTCAAAATTGTCAAATCCGTGGCGCCCTTATGGTTCGATTCAGCTGGTCGAGCCGCATCGAACCATAACAGGGAACCACGGATTCGTCAATTTTTAACAAAGTTATAGCTCAGCGGCACATTGGTCTCGCGGTACATCGGGGTGTGCCCCCTTGGAGGATAGTTGAGAAATAGAGCCCCACGGGACAGAGGAAATATGGTAGTTTAACAAAGGAAAATACAAAATTTGAACAAAAAATATTTATTAGAGAATCGACAACATTATTAAAATAAAATCGACATTTAATTAAAAATACTAATAAATTAAAAAAATTTTAGTTACGTTATGCTGAGGGATGGGATTGGCTTTTACTTACTATAGGTCTGTCGAAAGTCTGAATAAATTCTATATAGAATATTTTTCTTAAAGGAATACTTACCAGCATATTTGTTGGTGCTATAACCCCAGCAACATCTATTATCTTTCGTGGTATTACTGATGTTCTTATGGAAGGACAACATAGCTTGGAAATTGGAAATTTAGATATGGACGATTTTTCCAAGAAAAGTGTGTAGGAAACTTTTAAATAATTCGGAACATGTTTTCCGAAAAATGAATTTTTAATTGAAAAATCGGGAATATTTTTATATAACTTACATGAAATGTTTAACTTGATGTTTGGAGAAAAATTTGTTTTTCTTCAAAAATTTAGTGTTGATGTTTTGTGAATGTTTTACGGAAATTTATTTTAGAACATTTTCTGAGGTTTAAACAAATGTTTTATAAATATGTTTTATGTATCAATAAACATCTAATGATACATATGTAGTAGGTTGATGTTAGATAAACATTTTCCGGATGTTTGGTTTTTCATGTTTTTCTGATGTTTTAAATATTTAATTTTATTATCAAAATCGTTATTTAAAATTACAGTAACTCACCACGCGTTACTCTACTCTTTGCTTGGAGTAACTACATTTATCAGTAGCCAAATATCTATGTCAGCTTTTTCAACTTTATGTGAAAGGCAAATTCATAGGATTAGACAGCATCTTTTCAAAGCGATTTTGGCACAAGAACCCGGATGGTTTGATCGCCCTTCTAATCAAATTGGAGCATTAACCCACAAAATGAGCTAGTAAATAAATTCTAACAATTATTTTTAAATTAAATTATTATCAAGTGGTGTTGAGAAAATAAAAGCTGGCATGAATGATAAGGTTGCAATATGTATCCAAGCTATATCTTGTTGTGTAGCTGGAATATTTTATGGAGCAACGATGAGTTGGCGAATGACATTAGTTATGTTGGGTGTGTTATCTTTCTATTTTAATTAGTAGAAAACTTTTCCGGAAAATTCCGGAAAGTTTTATAAATATCGTTTTACTCTCTATTGGATACATTTCCGGAAAATACATATTTATTTATTTGTTCCGGAATGATGTATTTTTTCGGAATTTATTTTGTGTTTTATTTTTATTCTGGTTGAAAATGTGTTTTTTTCTCAAAGGTGTTTCTCCATTTCTGGTCATTTCTTTTGTCGGTTCTGCCACCGCTGCTTCAAAATTAGTAAGAAAAGAAATGAGCGCCTATTCAGCGGCTGGTGCAGTTGCTGAAGAAGTACTTAATGGAATTAAAACTGTTACGTCTTTTAATGCCCAATATTTCGAAATTGGTCGTTATAAGAAACATTTGGGTATTTTTATATAAAATAATTTTAAGTAAAAATTTTTTGATAGACGAGGGAAGAAAGACTGGAATTTGTAAAGGTACCTGGATAGCTTTCTTCGCAGGTATTCATTTACTTGTTATGTTTGGTTCGATGGGTGCTGCTTTTTTGTACGGGACGTGGCTTGTATTGCAAGGGACTATTTCTCCTGGAACTGTAAACTTGTCAAAAAAATATTTTTTAAATTTCGAACAAAGGTATTTGCCGTATTCTGGTCAGTGGTTGCCGGTGCATTGCGTATTGGCCAGGCATTGCCAGAAATTGGGGTTATTGTAGCTTCTAAATTGGCAGCTGGGGAATTGTTTTCAATAATTGACCGTAGCCCAACTATTGAAGCTTGTAATGAAAGTGGAATGAAACTTGCTAATGTTAAAGGAGAAATAGAATTTGTTGATGTTCATTTTACATACCCAACAAGGCCTAAAGTACCTATACTTAGGTAGAATATATATAATTAAAATACTTGTAAAATCAGAATTTAAACTTAAAATAATGATTCTTTCCAGATTTTTATTTTAAAATTATTTTTAGAGGAGTTTCTTTTTCTGTTAAATCTGGAGAGTCAGTAGCGTTAGTTGGACATTCTGGATGTGGAAAATCTACAATGGTTGGACTATTAATGAGATTTTATGATTCTAAACGTGGTTGTGTTACTCTTGATGGGGTAAAGAATTAAGGAAATTTTTTTATGAAATTTGTAAAAATAATTATTTATGTAATTATTACTAGATTAATTAAGAAAATACAAAAATTCGAAAAGTGTTTTCCGGAAAATGTTTTTATAACTTAAATAGTATTTTAACTGAATAATTTTTCCGGAAAGAATATCAAAGCATTTAATTATATTTTTATTGTTAGTTACCAATACGCGATTTAAACATTAAATGGTTACGCAACAACATAGCTCTTGTGCAACAAGAACCGATACTTTTTGCGGATACTGTTGAGGCAAACATTCGGATGGGGAAAGAGGATGTGACTGTTGAAGAGGTTTGGGAGCATCGAGAGTCTAAAAATTAAAGAAAACTTTATAGATGATCGATGTTTGTAGAATGGCTAATGCACATGAATTTATTTGTAAATTACCCGAAGGATACCGTACACGTATAGGCCAGGGCGGTGTGCAACTTTCTGGTGGACAGAAACAAAGGTGTTTTGACGGAAAATAAAATAACTTCATTAAATTTTCTAGACTAGCAATTGCTCGGGCATTAGTTAGAAATCCTCGTATTCTCCTTCTGGACGAAGCTACGAGTGCATTAGATGCAGAAAGTGAGCAAGTTGTACAGGAAGCACTTGAAAGAGCTAGTTCCGGTCGGACAACTATTACAATTGCGGTGATATTTTTAGTTGTTTTACTGAGTGTTTTCTTTAAAGTTTTGTATTTATTTCCGGAAAATAATCCGTTAAATACTTTTGGCCCTATATGAAACCTCCTTTCATATAGAGCCATACTTTTAATTTTATTTGTTTTTGAATAATTAAACATTTAAATTTTTTTAGCATCGACTTAGCACTGTTCGCAATGTTGACCGCATAATTGTTTTTGAACGGGGGCAAATTGTTGAGACGGGGAATCACGAAAAATTAATGTCCAACCCCGATTCAGTCTATCGTCAATTGGTTGGGAATTAAAAATATTTTTTTTAAATTATTTTTAAAAAAGGTTCTTGCTCAACAAATTTCTGGAAACAGTTCACCAGGCTTCGAGACGGATGAAAATTCGTCTGGTGAAAATTAAAAATATTTTTAAATTCCTTAAATAAATTTAGATGACGATATTGACAATAATCAACGAAAATCTTCATATCACCATACCCCTAGAGCAATAAGAAATTCTGTTGCTAGTCTAAGCAGTATCACAATAAATAATAAAATGGCACGTGCCTCAGAAAGAATAGGTCGTTCAATGACTTCGGTTAATGAAGGAAATGAGGAGGAAATGGAAGAGTGAGAGAAGAAAAATTTAATTAGAAAAAAATTATTTTTTAAAGATTGGATGAAGTTATGCAAGAATTGGAAGCAAAACCAGCTTCTGTTTGGGAAATTTTATTGTATGCAAGAAAAGAAGTTTTGTTTATTGTTGTTGGAGTGGTAGAAAAAAAATAAATTTTTTAAAATTATTTTAATTTTTTAAAGCTCCTCGCCCTATGTAGAGGAGTATCTTTTCCTGTTTTTTCAATAATTTATGGCCGATTATTTCTTGATCTATCAAATTCGATTGAACTCCAACAAAACACAATTAACAACACAATAGTTAATATTACACAAGAAGAAAGTGTATGTTTGTTTAGAACAATTGTTGGGGAAGTTGTGTTTTAGAAATAAAAACAAACAAAACACAAATTTGAAGGAAAACACATTATTTGTTTTAGTTGTTTGGAAAACATTTCTTTGGAAAACACAGAATAATTAATTCCAAAACATGGGAAACAAACATTTGTTTTGTTTGTTGGGAACAGAAAGATTCTAGAATAAATAAACAAAACAAACAAAACAAACAAATGAAAAACACAAGAAGCAATTCCGGAACGTGTTTTCCGGAAAACTATTTAAAATAAAAAAAAACACAAAAAATACAAAAAAATACAAAAAAAAATACAAAAATTTTATAGGAAGAAGAAGCAGCACTAAAACTTAACAATTTACATATATCAGCAATAGCTAATTCAATTGCTTTTCTCCTTCTCGGCTTTTGGGGTGCAATCACTACGTTTGGATCGGGAACTTTGTTAGGTATTGTGGGTGAAAGGTTAACTCAACGTTTGCGATTGGATGTATTTAGAAATATTTTGTCACAAGGTGAAATTAAAAGTTATTTTTTTTTATAAATCAAATTACTTCCGAAAAATGGTTAGAAAATACAAAAATACATATGTATGATTAATGAAAAATTACAAATACCAATTTAATAATCTAAAAATAAATACAAGATAAATAGTTCAGAAAATTCTATACCTTCAGATTGGCAATCAAATAGATTTCCGGAGAATTATGTAAAATACACAAAAAACACAAAACCTTAAAATTAATAAAACACAAAAATACATTAATTAAATTTCAGAAAATATTTTGTATTTTCTTTTTTGTATTTTATTTATTTTTTAATTAAAACAGACGGCTACTTTTTTGACAACGAGCGCCACTATAGCGGCAAACTTTGTCAGCGTCTTGCAATGGATGCTCCAAATGTTCAAGCAGCAATTGACCAAAGACTTGCAGAAGTTCTTCAAGGAATAGTTTCTGTAATTACTGGGATAATTGTTGCCTTTTATTTTGGTTGGAATGTTGCCCCAATTGGATTGACTACAGCAGCTATTTTGGTTGTAGCACAAACTTCTGTTACTAATTATTTGAAGAGAAGAGGAATGAGGGATATGTTACTTGCTGAAGATGCTAGTAGGGTAGGAGGATTCTGAAATATTTTAAAATTTTTTTTAAAATTCTAATAGATAGCAGCAGAGTCAATAGAATATGTCCGTACTGTTCAAGCACTTAACAGGCAAAGAACTGTTTATGAACGATTCCGTTCGGCAGCAAAGCTTCCACACAAACTTGCTTTTATTAGAGGTGATTTTAGAAATATTTATAATTAAGAGAACCTTATTTTCTAAAGGTATTTGGACTTCTTTATCGATAGCAATTAGTTCAAGTTTTGTTCCTTTTAATTTTGCCATTACCTATTATTTGGGACTTTGTTTAATTCAAAAAGGATATACAACACCTTTTATTCTATTCCAAGTTGTTGAAGCATTAAATTTGGCTTCATTTACAATAATGACTGCGGCGGCATATTTTCCTGAATATATGAGAGCTAAACTTTCTGCTGGGTAATTTAATAGTTTTGTATTTTATTTTAATAGAAATTCTGATTTCTGTATTTTTTCACAAAAAAGTGAAAAATTCCCGTTTTTTAAAAATTCATATCTTTGGTTAGGAAAAAGATTTGTCCCTGATTTTTTTTTGATTCTGGCTTCTAAAATTATTGTGAATAATCATTTTATGTTAGATCTTTTGTAAAAAATTTATTTAGCCGGATCCGGATTTGGCATATCCGGATTTGGTATATCTAAGAAGTTTTAAATTTTTTTAAAAACCCTGAAATATGTCAAATGAGATACGAAATAAGCTTTCGAATGGTATATAGAACATCCATATCCATAAAGTATTCATTGAAAAACATGCTCGGGTATCAAAACTTATGTTACACCCTAAGTAATTCTGATTTTCTTCTCGCTAATATTCTTGTATTTTTCAATTTAATTATTAATTCTGAATTTTAGCTTAATGTTTGCAATGGCTAGTCTTCGCCCCCGCATCGATTCTCTTTCCGATACTGGTCTTGACGCACCAATTACCGGCCAAATTGACGCCCAAAACATCAATTTTGCATATCCAAATTCTGGAAATTTCCATTTAGCATTAAATGGGTTTTCATTGACTGCTTTAGCCGGAAAAACTGTTGCCCTAGTTGGGCCCAGTGGGTGTGGAAAAAGTACAATGATACAGTTACTTGAACGATTTTATGATCCTTTTAGTGAGTTTTTAGGGGAAATTAAATCAAAAAAAATTATTTTTTTGAATAGGCGGAATATTAAGTATCGACGGAGTAGATATTCGTCGTTACAATATTCGACATTTACGAAAGTCAATCTCCTTAGTTGGCCAAGAACCTACTTTATTTGCACTTTCAATAAAAGAAAATATAACTTATGGACTTGATAAAGACGATATTAATGAAGATAAAATTAAATTAGCAGCAAAATTAGCTAATATTCACGATTTTATTGAATCTCTTCCTCAAGTAAATAAAAAAAATTTTTTTTGAAATTTTTAAATAAAATTTTTAAAAATAGAAATATGATACTCCAGTAGGCTCTCGTGGAGCGCAGTTAAGTGGGGGACAAAAACAACGTATTGCTATTGCACGTGCAATTATTAGAGATCCAAAAATTCTTTTGTTGGATGAAGCAACTAGTGCATTAGATACTGAAAGTGAAAAGGTGGGGGAAGATTTTTTCATCAAAAATAAATTTTTCGAGAAAAATAAAAAATCAAAAGAAAAAAATTACAAGTACATAATCCTCTAAACAAAATAATTTCCTTTAGACTTATTGTTAGTAACATTTTTCTAACGATTAATTTGAAGAGATTTGCCTAGTTTCGATGCTAGACAAAGGAATCAGCTGTTAGATTCGAAACCGCAAATTTCCGTCATTTTTTGGGTTGAGAATTCCCAATTCCCGGGATGGGGAATTTATTTGTATGTAGGCACAATCAATGCTATAGATATACCGCCCCACCATATAGACCTCTGTGTCTTCAGTGATACGTCATCCACGTAAAAATCTAAGTAAAGTAAGAAGGCGATAATGATAATTCAATGATGGTAATCTGATAAAAACAAACAAAATTTCAGGTAGTCCAACAAGCATTAGAAGCAGCCCGTACAGGCCGTACTTGTTTAGTAATAGCTCATCGCTTAAGTACAGTTCAATCTGCCGATTTAATTATTGTAATGCGTGAAGGACAAGTTTTGGAGATGGGGACACATTTACAATTACTGCAGAGTGGGGGGCTTTATTATAAACTTGTACAGAGGCAAAAATAAAAAGAGAAACAAAAATATATATTTGATAGTTTATTTGTATATATTTATTGTTTGAGATTAATCAAAATATAGAAATTTTTATTGAGAAAAAATAAAATTTAAATTCTTCGTGTCAACAATTAAAAAACATACATATGTATGTAGTTAGTCAAGTCTTATTTTTAAATTTCCAGAGATGGAACCGATAGATCGGTCAAAGACTTTGACAGGACCGGCCCGACCGAGTCTTTTAAGGGCCAAAGTTCGAGCCCAATTCGATCTTTCAGACCGGGCCGGCAACCCTAATTGAAATATATGCATCAAAGTCCAAAATATGCAAAAATATGCATTATATCCAGATAAAAACCCCCTCTAAAGTTTTCAAACCAAGCGGAAACTGTGTTTTTTGTGCAATATCATAACAAGTTAGCAAAAAATATGCATTTGCTTAAAAATCACAACTCTAATAATGTAAAAAAAACAAAAAACTGCACATTTCGAAACAATTTTCTTCAATTTATCGTCATTTTAAATAAAACAATTTAATGATAAATACATATCAGAAATTAAACTAAAAAACTACTTTTAGAATAAGAGACAGAAGTTTATCAAAAAAAAAAGATTTAAAAAATAAATTAGTGTTTCCTACCAAGACCGCTAAATCGGCCTTATTGAACACTTTAAATTCCAGTAATATACTGGATGTTTTTAAATGAATGGAGGGTGTTTGTTTAATTTATTTGTTAGTGGGGGAAGTGTTGGTACTTATCCGTTATACGCCCACAAACTTAATGTCAGCCAACCTTGATCGGTTATAATTACTCGATGCGGTAATATTGAAGAGTATGGGCCCCATTTTTCCTCCCTATTTTTCCCCCTATATTTTTACAAAATGGTCAGACTTTTTCCTTCCTTCCATACAATTTGCCTTTCTAATTTTTGCCTTGAAACAAAGAAAAAGGATTATTTTTGATATTTTATTTCCCGTAATATATATTTTATATCATTCGAAAGCCCTCAATTAGCGATACATCTTTCCAGCTAGATGGATCAGGTTTGATCACTCGTTAAAAAGTAATAACCCGATAAATGTGAAAAACACCAAATAACATATGGATTATAATGTATCGAGTTATAACTTCCTAATGAGTGATCAGACTTGAGTTATTTAATCAAAAGAGATACAACCTATAGAGGCTTTCGAATATAAAATTCATTTGTATTCGATAAATTATCAAAGTCGGTTGGCACTCTGTTTGTGGGCGCATAACGCTAAGTACCCTGTTTTTCTATGAAACATCAAACTCAAAGCTCTCAAATTAGTTCTCAACGGTATTCCCATCCTCCGAGTTTCAGTCACTAAATTCCTCTTCCTTCTTTACATCCGAATCTTCTTCACCATGATAACCCGCACATTCGTGGATCCCCATATTTTCTTCGAGATGCCCCATGTTGTAGTCTCCTTGTCCAGTGTATTGTCCGTGTCCAATATATTGTTGATGTCCAGTATAATCCCCAGAACCTTGTCCATAAATATTTTGATGTCCATAGTCTGTCTGATATCCATAGTTTTGCTGCTGATGTCCAGTGAAATAATTTCCTAGAACACTTGGTTGATTGTATCCCAAAGGTTGATTGTATCCCATCATCTTGGTTGATTGTATCCCTCCAGTGTATTGTCCGAGTTCATGTCCAATATATTGTTGGTCCCCAGAACCTTGTTGATATCCAGAAATATGTTGATTTCCATAGCCTGTCTGATATCTATAGTTTTGCTGCTGATGATCACTCAGATAATCACGATGTTCCTGGTATTCACGATTACTTCGTTTGTTCTGTCCTGATGAACTTCCTTGTCCATAATTATGTCCAAATCCCCAATTGGAAGTATCTCCGTATTTACTGCACATTTTTTTAATCTTAAAATTGTCAAAATTAGCTAGCAAATATTTTTTTAGTTTATTATTTAAAAAATTAAATAATTTTTTAAAACATTTTCGATAATCATTTGATGTATTTCATCAAGGCTTTCCTTATTTCTATGGTTGAGTATGTTTTTGTAAAAACCAGTAAAGAGGTATTTCTGTTTTTCTTCATCATCCAACAAAATGTTCATTGTAATTCTTTTAACTTTTTCTACCAAACGCTTTATATTTTTCAGTCGATCGTAGAACGAATTAAAATCTTTAGAAATATTTAATTTTTCTCCAATTAAATTGCAGGTATTTTTGTCCATTTTTTCATCGGATACTTAAAAAATATTTTTAAAAATATACTACGAGTAGTTATGTTTATTTGACAATTAATTTTGCTTATTTTAAAATTTTGACTCACTAAAACTGAACCTGTCTAAACCGGTTCCAGACATTTATCGGTTCCACTGTTCCAGTTCCGGAACTAGAACCGCATCGGTTCCGAAACTGGGTGCGACTTTCGTGGCAGGGAAAAATTTTACAGTAACGGAAGCTGCGGGGAATTCAGATTCGGCGAACGGGGTAGGGAGATCCCCGAGGTATTCCCATGGGAATTTTTCCGGGGAATCTTTCCCCGGGGAATTTTTTCATCTAAATTTAAATAAAATTCGAAAAAACGGCAATTTTAATTAATTATGGTATCCACAGATATCCAGATCCGGAACCAAAATTTTTAAAAAATTTGTATTAAATTTTTATTAAAGTAGTAAATGATGGTCAGTTACTAAGTCACGGAATTTTCCGAGATCAAAGCGGTAACTTGTGAAAAATCACGTTACGGGATCCCAGAACTGCGATTTTGCAGCATTTAAAAAAACTACCATAATCTTTAAAAAGTAAAGGATTAAATTCTTCCACTTGAATTTCAGAATCCAAAGAAATATTTGTTGGATATTCATTGCTCTCATCTTCAAGTAAATGAAGTAAATAATCGTTTCCTAAATTTTAATTTATTTATAGACAAATAAGTAGAAAAAAAAAGAAAATTTCGAAACTAATTGTTGCGTATGGGTGTAAGCCCTTATGTATACATACCGTATTTACTCGATTAATTCCTCACCCTCGAATAATTCCACACCCTCTATAATTCCCCATGCCACGGATGGGTTGAAAAAATAATTCCTCGGGGGAATTAATCGAGTAAATACGGTAATAGTATAAAAGCCAGCCCTTAATTACCGAACATGTTATCTAAATAATTTTCGTCTGCGACGCTGAATATAAGCCCCCAAAGTTTTAGGATCCCCCAAATCCCTAAGTAAAATTATAAAATTTTGGAAAATAAATTATAACCTTTTTCTTTCAAAATATTTGAGAACCCTTCAAGACTATTGTATTTGTAAACATAAGTCAGAATCGACAAAACATCCCTAATTTTGGTATTTTTAAAAATATTTTATTAAAAATACTTACGTGTATTCGTTTCTTTTTTCAAAATAATTAATTAAAATATCATTGTAGTAATTTTTATTTTGTCCGTGAAATTTAATAAACAAACGAATTAAATGTTGAATTAATTTAATTAAATTCCAAACAATAAATATATTTCGTTCAAGATCGGTTGGAGTTGGATTTTTAAAAGAGTTTGAAAGTAAAAAGAGTTCCTCCTTACTTAATTTATATTAAAAATTAATGGATAATGTAGCACGACTTTTGATGGCTATTAGCTTTTACCACAACAAAAATTTCAATTTTTGAAATGTTCAAATGACATTGTTTTTAATTTTAAATATTTTGGAGGTGGTGCATTGACCTGTTCACGGTGTAGGCTTCTTCTAATCAAATAAATATTTACATATTACCTAAAAGTGTCCGTATTATTCAAAGTATTTATTGCTACTTCAGTCAACCCTTCGTTTGTTTCTAATAACGAGTAATTCACTCCATATGGCAAAAATCTTGAATTGTTTAAAAATTCAAAGTATTCCTGATGAGTCATTGTTTCACTCATATTCTTTAAACAAATTTCAATCTTTTTGCGTTGTAATTGTGGATCATGTAAAACTTTAAAATTATAAATTGGACATTTTAAGGTCCTCTTCCCGTCTCAAATTGAACTTCATTAAAATACGGGGTATTATTAAATATGGTGCATTTATACTCGGGGAATTCCAACTCACGAAACATACAGGCGAGAATTTTGAAAAATTTGGAAGGACAAGTCACCAGATTTCTTCCCTTTTCTGCGCCGCAGGAAAGGAAACCTAATTGAATTAAGTGTCATACATAAGTGAACTATTATAAGACATTTTGGCGCTGATATAGTTTACCGTCCGATGAACTTTTATGCGTCCAATCAAGAAAAAATTGGATTTTTCTTAGTATTGCAAAGTTGGGGTATGGTTCCAAAGCATTTCTTCATGTTCAGGACCTACATCCACTTGGTCTGGGACCATTCAAACCTTATCCACCGAAATTTCTGAAAGTTATAGCCAATTTTTAAAAATTTCAGAAAAACAATTTTAACTTAGGATATTTCGAGGGATTGGGCAAGGAATGGTCCCAGACCCAATGGGTATAGGTCCTGAACATAAAGAAATGCTAAGGAACCATACCCCAACTTTACAACCCAAGAAAAATCCAATTTTCTTTTGATTGGATGCATAAAAGTTCATTGGACGCATAAACTAGACCAGCGCCGACATTTTTATGATAGGTAAAAGGAGAGGTTAATCAAAAAACATACGGTTTTCGAATTTAAACATTTTCTTAAATTCTTTTTCAAATTTTTCATTATAATTGTTGATAATCTTTATAAATGATTTTAAATATAAATTTAAAAATAAACCTTATTTAATTTTTTTGAGGTTATTTTAAACGATTCTAATTCAAAAATTTTTGGGGTGTATGGAATTAATGTTATTTTATTTCCACTTTTAATAATATTTTTGCGTAAATTGTTTGTTGGCCCGTCCAATTTCAATTCTTCAATTTTAATGTGATCAAATGTTCGAATTAAAAGGGATAATTCAACAAAAGAAAAATTATTTTCATCAAAGGAGGCTGATGGTGTTGAAGAACTTCCACCCGCTTTTTCCTTTCCTTTTC